GGAGAAAATGTTGTTGAATATGCACCATGGTAACTCATATGTAAATAGCATGATAATATATACAGATCAGAGATGATAACTTACTTAGCCCTGGCCTGGTAACTATTTGAACGAAAAAATTATCAGAACATATTAACATGAGATCTAATTTCGTAGGTCTCATCATAATTTTTTATGTGAAAACAAATTTTCAATCGGGCCAACGGTTTGAGTTATAAAACATTTCGAAGTTTCAAAATAAATATAAGATGACATCAGATATTTCCCCTCTAATGTATGCACACATGTGCATGTAAGAGAATGTTGGATTGACTTTTTTATGCCTGGTAATTTATTTATAAACAACATGATAATTTATGCTCAACTGTCATGATAACTTGTGTAACACCCGCGTGGTAACTTTTTACCCCAAAAAAGTCGTCAGAATATACCAACATAGGATCTAGTTTCAAAGGCCTCGCCGCGACGAATTTTTTATGTGAAAACATTTTTTCGATGGAGTAACAATTTGAGCTACAAACTTTTTGAAGTTCAAAACTGAGAGAGTATATGACGACATCATCTTTTTTGTCTTTTTCGCATATATATAATTTGCTCTAATAAAAGGTGAGGAATGAGGGAAAGGTGGAGGAAAGTACGTGCTTGAAGTTGCTAATATGAGAAAAAGGTGAGGAGTACGCATACATGGTTATTAGCATCGTTCGGTTCTGTCTACTAAAATCAGAATGTTCTTAATATATGAAGGTTACTATAACCATTGGTAATTTGAAAACAAGAGAGGAATTGCATGGTAACAACTAAAAATCCAGTGGTAATATGAAGCAATAAGCTATGGCAAGAATCAAGCATTATGCTAGATATGAAACAAGTGAACTAGAGTGAGATTTCAAGGTAACCACTAACAAATACAGTGGTATTGACAAGCAAAAAGGACCTAGTAAAAAACATTAAGCAATATGCTGGATCTGAAGCATGTGACCTAGCATGCAATTTCATGGTATCAGATAACAAATTTAGTGGTAATTTCAATCAACGAGTCCTCGTAGATATGCATTACCCATGGATTATTGTTGCAATATGAATTTACACTAGGACCTTGCGCAATACATCATCATACATCTGCATCTGAAACACATAAGGGAGGGGATTGGGTATAGAGTTCATTTCCACATCCAAAAATTCACCAAAACGAGATGGAACCCCGGGGAAATCAGACCCATACCACCACCCGCAACCAAATCGATCTTGAACCACATGTGTCGCACAAATCTACGCCTAAACTACAACACCACAACTGCGCCCGACCTAATTGGAACGAACCCACAAACACATCCAACTCCCTTCTGCACACCAATCTCAAACAAATTAACACTTGAACGAAACGGCTCGCTGCACCAAAAAACGTCTACACCCTCCAAAAATCGCCCTCGGAACCCCGGGTTCACCCCA